AACTTTGTGGCATTGCTTTTTTTTATTTACAGAAAGTAAATAATTATAATTAATTATAGTACAGTAAAAGTGTGCAGTTTAACAATACTCGAGTCACAGAGGAAACAGGCAGGCAGGTCTTTGAACGGTCGAAATAACCTTTTAAAAATGGGCTAGCACTTAATGAAACAAATAGGTAAATAGTAATTTTATTGATAAAGTAGTACCAATATTATGATACCAAGAGCAACAAGTAAACTGGACCTAATGCTTGATCTTATTTTTTGTTCGTTGTTATCAAGATTTGGTTCTCTACATCATGTAAAAAATTCAGTGGGTAAAGGATCATTTAATATCAATTGGCTCACAGAAGTATGAACGAGCACCGCACCTGGGTGAGTTATATGCTAATTCTCTATACAAGTGCAAAATCAGAGTTCATACTTCTTAAATAGTAATATAAGAAGTCACAGATTATTCATGGGAATAATAAGTCTTGGTTATCAAAGCCCTCCAGATGTCTAGAGATGTCATGCAAAAAAATGTCATTTTAAGTCCAAAAAGTAAAGTTATTTTAGTAAAACATAGCTAAAATAAATCTAAATTATTTTAAACATTTTTTAGAGAACTACCAGGAAAAAAAGTTTTTTTCTTTTCAGTTCCAAGAGCTTAAATGAAACATTCATGCATTAAATTCAAAGTCTGACTGTCAAATCATTTCACTTTAATAAAAATTTGAATTACCTGCCTTAGGGCATTATTAAATATCAAATAAAAAGCATACATCCATAAGTCTGATTTCCCAATATAATTTTTATGTAGAACTATAACTAGATTTGTATAACATATTTCAAGATAAAAGGATCAAAAATGTATTCATAAAAGGATGAAGTCAGAATTGGAGTTGACTTTGAAAGAATTCCTGTACCATTCTTAGGAATTTTTTAGAAAAATGGCCCCCTTTAAGTAATCTCAGACTTCAAGATAAGGACACAAATCCATCCTCCTTTTTAAAATACCTAAATTGTAACTGATTTAAGACCAAAAATTACAAATTATCTTCCTATAATTTAATGAATATAAAGTATCCAAAATATACATAATCTTTTCATTAACATTAAACTCTCTGCTTCAGGGGTGTGTGTGTGGGGGGGTGTGGGTGTGTGTGTGTGTGTGTGTGTGTGTGTGTGTGTGTGTGTGTGTGTGTGTGTGTGTGTGTGTGTGTAAGAGAGAAAAATAGTGATGGTTATTTAGATATTTAGAGAGGACCAGATATGGATTAAAAATTCAAGGTAATAATCTCATTTCATCAGTCCCTTAAGGCTACTGATGCTCACAAGACTATAGAGAGTACACAAAACCTAGACTGGAGAAATTCATAAATTCATGTTCACCAAACCTCATCGCACCTCACTTTCTGCCCCTCTTACTGGGTCGCTCCTGTAAGCCCACCTTTCCATCCTTCACTCTGCTCCAATCCCCCACCCCCAGCTGCTACCCCATTCTTCCTTATAATAAAAGCAGGTCATGGGATCACAAAGTCTAGAAATCAACACTTCTCCCTTCCAACTACAGCACATAAAGTGTCCATTCTCTTAACATAAGTCAGTCTCTGAACCTGCTGAGGATTTCATCCCCTTTCAACTTTTCAGAGGCTTCACGGTAGGACTCGCCCCTCTGAGAAGCAGCATTTTTGGCCCCTCCTATCTACTGGCTCATTCCCCCAAGTATACAGAAAAGATCTAGTATTTTTTTTTTTAAAGTCTCATTCTCACGACAAAAAAGAAATGACATATCTGTGACCTGATAGAAGTGTTAGCTAATGCTACAGTGGGAATCATATTGCAGTATATAAATGTATCAAATCGACACCTTTATTCACCTTAAATGTACACAATGTTAAATGTCAATTATATGTAAATTTTTTTAAAGTCTCCTTCTATCTCATGTCCTCCCTGTTGCTGCTGCCTCTACTCCCCTCCCAACCCAGTTAATCAAGAGCTGCCACCACATGGCGTCCCGACTGCTCCTTTCACGGTCTCTTTGTCCAGCGGCCACGTGCACCCCCCATTGTCATGCCACCCTGACCACCAGTGTGGGGACACGCTCTGACCTCTGTCATGTAGTTTTTAAGAAAAAAGGCTCTGCCAGTCAGGCTGCCTGGGTCCACCTTCCCGTTCTGCTGCACAGTGACTGTATGACTTTGGGCAAGTGACCTAATTTCTCTGCGCTCTGGTTAACGCACCTGTAAAGACTCACATAAGACTTTATGAACCCTCAATGAGGTAATCCTTAAGTAGTATCAGAGCATTTTATATGGATATATCTATAGAAAACCTCTATGCCAATGACTCCCATGTCCAGTGATCTCTACTCCAAAAGTCCAGCCACCTTCACGACGGGTCCACTGTTTGTGACTGACGGGTGTCTCTCATTCAGCGTGCTCCAACTCAGCTCTCTCATCTTTCCATCCCGAACGGCTTTCCATTCCTCCTCCAGCTTTCCTGCTGCCACTCAATGGCACCCTATCCCCATAGTTTCCAAAGTCCCAAACCCCAGAATTGATCTCTGAGGTGTCCATCTTCTTCCGCCCTTATCCAGTTCATCACTAGCTATCACTTTCGAGGTTGTCTCCCACACCTCCCCATCTCCACTGTTGCAATTCCAGGACCAGAGCTGCCCTGTCTTTCACCTCAGCTATGCAGCAGACCTCTAAGATAGCCCCCGACTCCTGCCCTGGCCCACGACAATCTAATGTTTTCATCTTCTAGCCCCCGTGATCTGTCGAAAACATACATGCAATCAGGCCACTCCCCTGAGTGAAAGTCTTTATGAGTTCTCAGTGCATCGACGACAAAATAAAGATGCTTTAACGTGACTGACAAGGGCCTTGCCTGACACTCCCCTCTGATTTCTATCCCCTGGACTCACAGGATCTTCTTTCTGGTATCTCAACGCATCAAATTCCTACCTCCTCCCCAGGGAGTGGCCTCTCAGGACCCTTGTAAAGACATTCCCTCTCCTGGAAATCTTCGCTACACTTCTTTGTTCTTCTCATTCGTGGAGTTTATTATGATTTGTCATTGCATATTGTTTTTCCACTGTCAGGCTCGTCACCTCAGACTCTATTTCATGAGGGCAGAAACACATCTGGTCTTCTCACCTCTGTATACCCAGAACTGATCACATAGTAGGTGCTCAATAATGATTTCTGATTACGACTTTTTTAGCTCATCTAATCTAAGGCTTAGCTTAAAGCACTCTTGGCTTTTCTTCATTGTTACCATATAAAAATTACTGAAAGTTTCTTCTCATCCCTATCAAAGGCAACTTTGCCTGGCCCTCATCATCTCCAAAATTAGAAAGAAGAAATGAACCATACTGGCTAATGAGGAAACTGAGAATGAATGAATGAATGAAACTGGCTGGCCGATATAGGACATGTATAATTAGTTCTAAGGCAGCAGTCCCCAACCTTTTTGGCACCAGGACCGGTGCTCCTATGAGAATCTAATGCCTAATGATCTGTGGGGGAGCTGAGGCGGTGATGCTAGCGCTGGGGAGCGGATGCAAATACAGATGAAGCCTCACTGGCTCACCTGCCACTCGCCTCCTGCTGTGCAGCTCTGCTCCTAACAGGCCATAGACCAGTCCTGGGGACCCCTGTTCTAAGGAACTTCTAATTTACCTAAACACATTTAAGATACAAACTGTTACATGTCATGATGGATTCAAAGTAAAATAAACACGTTTCGACCCTTATGAAGCTTGAAATCTAACAGAAAAAATAATACACATATCACTAAATGGAAGAAAGAATGTGAAATGAGAGGTATGATTTAAAGGGAAATTCATGCTGAAAGAAGTATTTGAGTTGGGCCTGTAGAGCAGCTAGGATTTCAACAGGCAAATGTCGGACGGGGAGAACTGTGTGAGTAAAGCACAATCACAGAGGAAAGAAGACAATTTGGCTGGAGTTCTGGGTACACGATGTATAGTAATAATAGAGAGACAAGAAAAATGGATTGGGAAACACATGGACAAAATGATCACATTTTAAAATTCCTGTGTTCACTGTCTAGCTCATGAGAGAGTAAGTTCCTTCAGGCCAGAGACTGCTTTTCATCTGTGACTCCCCGGTCCATTGTATGACTCACCTAGTATCTGAGCACATGCTCCCAACAGGCCATAAACAGTCAAAGCTCTGTCCTGCTTACCTAAAAAATTATTCCAATGGACACTTCTCTCTTACGGAAGCAGTGGACATGCCATGCACACTGGCCTATGTATGTACCCTCAGGTGATTTGCAAGGTAAAGAAATAATCCAGTGAGTGTATAGTCATTTATGTATATTTTATCTTTTCCATATTTGCAATGTTTTATTTTGTTAGCTCCTTAAGAGTAAGGAATACATACATTAAATAAATTCAACATATTAAAATGTATAGATGATGTTTCAATCCATAAAGAGATATACTATATTCAGATCATTAATAAGTGCTTCTTGATCTATCAGATAAAGCACTTCCATAGGACAAGTATTTTTATTCGTGCCAGATCTGCCTACACCTATCTCGATAAACAAGGCAATCAAATCTGCATTAGACAATGAGGGTCAGCGCTGAGGGTCACAGACCCCCGAGTCCCTTCCTTTATGTTCCTCAGTCATCAGGAGGTGACTGCTGCAGTTTCAAGGGTGCAACACAGGAAAGTATTACAGGGGTGCGAGCATCTCACTGCTTCTCCGTCTTAGTGTCCCCTTCCTTACGATATTAAAGCAAAACTTGGAAGGAAAGGCTGTTCTCATGAGAAAATAGGATTGCAGAATTTTTTTTAACATTGCATGAAATTTTAGAAAACCACCTGACCTGTAATGAATGGGGCTTAAGAATATGTCATAATCTTAAATTTCAAAATAAAGTGCGCTCATTGCTAAATCATCGGCATCATCATGAGAATAACTCTGACATGACAGGTTTACATAACTGTGTGTCCATTTCCTTACTTAATCTGCACGTACCCAAATGAAGGTGGCGGACTTGTCCTGTTCTCTCTGGCTACTGAAATGCAGCTCTGATGACTCTGTCACTAAGTGGCTGAGTGGGTCTAAAATTGTCTCCTAAAATCCCATCACAGCCTTCCACAAGTTCTGCCCCCTTAACATGTGTCCTCAGCCTTCGAAATTCTTCGATCTGAAAATAAAAGCAGGAAAAAAATAAATTAATCATTTACCAGACATTAACAAAGATTGGAGTTTCATAAATAACTTAAAATATGCATACATTATCACAATTATAAAAAGAAAAAACTAAACTTCAAAAAGAGGAAAACGGGCTTAATTCTTCCAGACCTAAGGCATTAGACACAACTCTTGCACTAGAAATGAAGACAACGGAAGTAGAGGTATCAAGGTCAACCCAACAGCCATAGACACCTGCTGGGCTTATTAATGCAAGAATGAGATAGGCTTTTCTCAAAAATCTTTTCTGCTGGCCTGTAGGATAGTAAGAATGATCGAATGCATGTCCCTATAGGCTTCCCAGGCGTATCTTTGAGTTCTGTTTTTGCTGTACATTAACAAAGAGTAGATGTTAGATTAGATGGAGGTTTCCTTCGTCAAAAGACTCTGCTGTTCTTCTAGACCTGTGGAGAACACAGGTCCAAAGAATACCTCAGATTTTCCAAAAGTTGAAGCCCAGCTCCCTCCCTTAGCAATGTCAATTTTCAAGTTCATCTCTCTTTCTCAGGTGGCCTCTCCAGGTCCTGTGGTTTCCCATTACCTGTGAACAGGTTCCCACAGTCCCCAGGGACCTTTCCCATCAGCTGCACTGCAGTTTCTGTCACTGGCTAGGTCTGTACTTCCTAAGAACCTGTAGCCTGCCAGACACCACCCTCTGAGAAGTATTTAAGCAAAAAAGCAAATATGGAGGATGGTTTTCCAGGCTCATCCCCATCTATTAGTTGATTTACCTATAGGGCTCATTGTCTGTTATTTCATTTAAATGCCATATAGTCACATAACAAAGACATTCTTCATTCCTTACACAAAAGTAGAAGCTGAGACCAGAAAGTTTCCAAACTAGGCCTGACAATTCCAGTCCACCTGCTTTTTCCCAAGGTCCACAGCCACCTCTTAAGAAATTCCAGTCCAATCAACAGAGCCTATATCCTGCATATATCCCAGGATGTTGAGCAAATATGATTTGATCAGCATCAATCCACCAAAAGTTCACCATCTGTCTATTAGAGGGTTATATCTACACAGGTCCTTCATACAGCACAGCGATAGAACTCCGCCATTCATAAAGTGAAAGAAATTGAAGATCAACTAATTTAGGGTTCTTTCTAATAAAAGTCTAGAAACCCCTACAGATTTTAGGGGGCCCAAGAAACCCCTGAATAATACACAAAATTTTTCATGCGCATATTTCAGGGAAAAGGTTCCCTGACTCCAAAAGAGTTGCATCTCACAAGATTCAAATTCGATCCACTCATATGCATGTTAGGAAAAGGAGCTGGGGAAAAATTAAATGGCTTGTTAGATTAGAACTCAGATTAGAAATCTGACTTCTAATTTTATTTTCCCATAAATTCAAATACTCTTTGATTTCCTTACTACACAGAATAAGTTTGATCCAACTACAAGTGTCCTGTTTTTTTAAGTAATTCCTACATGCTATGTTTATACAGAAGTGCCAAGCAGATAAGCAATTAGCTATTTAACCTACATATGGTTTTGCACTAGAGTTCATTAGGGTCTTAGCGTGGGAACACAGGTAGCACATATAGCTTCCTGCATCTGGAAAGTTCCCAGAGCCAAGGCTGCATGAGAATCCCCTGTAATTATTTGTGGAATGTATTTTTACTTAGTTTTCCCTAAGTACAGAGTGGAAAGGAATCTGATCAGAGGATCTTATGCTTTTTCAAAAGAAGAATATGAAAATGATGGCAGTGAGTTCTGCATCAAAAAAACAATTCTCATCCTAGCTCTGCCACCTACAACCCAAACGACCAAATTACTTCACCTCTTTAAGTCTCAGTTTCCACATATATACAACGAAGATGAAATAATAGTATTTGCAAAGAAGAAGTTAGAAGTAAATAAGGAAATTCATGAAAATCATTCAACATAGTTCTAAGCATATAGGAAGTATCTGATAAGATAGGAGCACAACTTCTTTTGAAGCCAAACCTTTAGCATTTCGAATTAATATTTAACTACAACTTTATATGCAAAAAGTAGACAGGAAATAATAAACCAATTGATTGGAAAATAGAAAGTCATGTCTCTTTGTATTCACTTCACATGTGATTACATAATAACAGCTGCAACCAGGATCTATAAACCTTGGACAGGGTCACCAATGTGGACTAGAACATGACCTATTTTTTAAAAAATACTCTGTTTTTATTGACTTTGAAACTGTTTTAAAGCTAGATTAATTTTTTACTTACGTATTCTGAACTAAAGATAAATCATTCGGGCTCCAGGCCTCAGCCTAAAGCACCTTCTGTGAAAACAGCTTCTAGAAGAGATGATCTGAACCCACAGCGAGCCAGTCTCAAATCACTTCATTCTTAGAGAGCATTATTTCAGAAGAAATGTTTTTCTCTGATCATAGCAACACTTTTAAGACTTTAAACACCAACAGAGATCAAGGGAAAAACATGTCTTTCTGAAATGCCAATTTTTCTGAAGTAACCCCACCCCCACCCCCCACCAAACCCTTTAGTCACTTCAACTGGTGTCAAGTGCACATTGCGTTATCCCACACTGAAACGAGAGAGAGTGAGAAGGGAACAGAATAATACCTTAAATGGCTTGTTAGATTAGAACTCAGATTAGAAATCTGACTTCTAATTTTATTTTCCCATAAATTCAAATACTCTTTGATTTCCTTACTATACAGAATAAGTTTGATCCAACTACAAGTGTCCTGTTTTTTTAAGTAATTCCTACATGCAACCTGGGTTGCACTCCAATTAGTCTAAATAAGACATTTATACCACTTTCACTGACTCCTGAACCAGATTATTCACTCGAAATTCAGCTTTAAAACTGTTTTCTTTATGAGTGCATCTAAGGGGCTAACGTCCAGGGCTTGAGGTTTGGCACTAGTAATTTTTAAGAGTTCCCAACTTTCTACGCACATCCTCTAACTGACTTATTTTGCCTTATATCTTATGTGCCATTATGTTCAAAGAGAAAAATAACACATGAAAGCTGGTGTTCTCGTCTTATTTTCTTTCATCATCAGGCAGTGGTGATACAGGAATTGGAGTAATATGATTTGTTATGGTAGCAAACTATGCTTAAACAGTCCAGTCCACATATACATATACGTATATATCGTGAGATTTTATATGTGTATGTCTACCTTTCGAGTACTGCAGCCTGTCCTTTTTGCTTGTCCCATTTTCTTCTACCCCATTTGTCTAACTCTCTTTCTAAAACATCTCTTCCTTTCTACCCACCAAACCCTTTAGTCACTTCAACTGGTGTCAAGTGCACATTGCGTTATCCCACACTGAAACGAGAGAGAGTGAGAAGGGAACAGAATAATACCTCGGGATAAAAGTCTCCACCAAAACTCAACTGTCGGGGCAATACAGAGACTATCGTTATCACGTATATCAAAATCAGCATGTGTGATGTTGGTTTTTAACGCTGCTCTACTTAAATATGGTATTTGTTTTTAACCAATTTAAAAGCGATGGATTCAGAGACAAATCTTCATCTTCCAAAGTTACTACGGTTGAACAGCCACTGTTCTCTCTGGACCTGCGTTGCACTCCAATTAGTCTAAATAAGACACTTACACCACTTTCACTGACTCCTGAACCAGATTTTCACTCAAAATTCAGCTTTAAAACTGCTTTCTTTATGAGTGCATCTAAAGGGCTAACATCCAGGGTTTGAGGTTTGGCACTAGTAATTTTTAGGAGTTCCCAACTTTCTACGCACATCCTCTAACTGACTTATTTTGCCTTATATCTTATGTGCTATTATGTTCAAAGAGAAAAATAACACATGAAAGCTGGTGTTCTCGTCTTATTTTCTTTCATCATCAGGCAGTGGTGATACAGGAATTGGAGTAATATGATTTGTTATGGTAGCAAACTATGCTTAAACAGTCCAGTCCACATATACATATACGTATATATCGTGAGATTTTATATGTGTATATCTACCTTTCAAGTACTGCAGCCTGTCCTTTTTGCTTGTCCCATTTTCTTCTACCCCATTTGTCTAACTCTCTTTCTAAAACATCTCTTCCTTTCTTCACTGACCTCTCATCCATAAACCAACCCTCATTCTACCATGCACGCCCTCATCTGGTTTTTTTGTTGTTTTTTTGTTGTTTTTTTGTTTTTGAGGAAGAGTTTAGAGAAGAGAACATCCTTCCCCAGTAATGCGGACGTAAGCTTTTCTCTTATTCCAACCCCGGCCCTGATTTCTGCCACTGCCTTCCCCTCATCACTTCAGGGTAGTTTCTGATGAGCCACACGTATCGAAACATACTCAAGAATGACAGATTACAGAGTATATGAACACAGCGGAGGTGCTCCCTACCACCGAAGACACTGAGGAAATACATACAAAATTCCCCACGAGTGCCGAAAAATAACTCATTTTAATAAAGGAAACAGGGAGTCTCCGAGGAGAGAGAATCCTAGAACCGCACTGTCCGACACCGCAGCCACCGGCCCTATGCGGCCACTGAGCATGTGAAGTGTGGCTAGTCCACGCTGAGCTGCGCTGCAAGCGCAGAAACACACGGAAGGTGAGACTTCGTGTGAAAATGAGAATGTCATAGATCTCATCAGTCATTTTTATATTGGTTACATGTTAAAATGGTATTTTAGATACTGTGTTAAAACACACTACTTGAATGAATTTCACCTTTGACTTTGACTTTTTTTTTTTTAATGTGGCTACTAGAAATCTTAATCTTACATATTGGGTTCAGATTGTGTTTCCATTGGACAGGACTGGTTTAGGACCACCCTGAAAACTCAGCATTCTGGTGTCCGAATGCTGAACTAACTTACACATGGAGAAAAATGTCAGTGGGTACAAAACAGTGGTTCTCAAAGCACTCTTCCTGGAATAAATCCCTGCCCCAGATCTACTGGATCAGCCGCTCTGGGGTGGGAGGCAGGGGACCAGCAAGCTGTGTTTTAACAAACC